TACCCAAATGTATGTGGTTCTTTACTCATTAATGCATCATTAAATGTATTTTTTTTTAAACCAAGTAGTGTAATTTCACGTAATATCAGCCTCTTGTAGTTTTATGTATGTCCTATAAAGCAGAGCTCAGAGAGGAAAAGGAAGAAGCAACACCAGGAGCCAGTCAGGTATGTCACAGTGCAAAGAGCATGCTGTTTGAAGGAGAGAGCAAAGATGAACTCATCGCTGCACTACTTCTTTGTTCACTGTCCAGTTACAAGATGGGGGTGGGGAGAAGATGTTCCCTCCCCTGTTAGACAGGACTGTGCTGTGTCTGGAGTTCAGCTTTAGGGGGCGTTTGGAAAACTCTTCTGAACAATGGAAACTGACTGCTGGAAAATGTAGGTTATAAAACGACAGTTTAGCCACGTTTGCATACCGTGTTTATGCGCGTTTGCGTTTAGAAGCGTTTTTAAAAGATAACCTCAGGAGACCTTCCCAAATGCCCAAAATGCACTGAAAAAAAGTAAATAATTAACTATTTCAGACATTTTGAGAGAAATAGAGAGAGCAGAAGCAGAGAGAGCAGTATGTGTTGAGGTGACCTGTCTTTTCTGGTCGTATTCACTATGGATCCCATCATGAGCATAATGCAGCACGTTCCACCATTTATTTCCTTCATGCAAAACCTGCAACTGACTGCGCTGGTGTACCGGGTTCCATTTGAATACATGGAAAATGCTTTGCATGCATTTCTGATGATGAAAAAAGGCTCTGGACAGCATCTGGATATGGAACAGTTTAAAAAAGGTCTCTTTCACATGGACGTACCGATCCGTATGCCTTGTAAAGGGCAGTCTTTACCCACCCAGGATGCATGGGTGTTCTGTGCAGGGATGTGCAGGCTGCCTATTGAAATAACTGACAGGTAGCCAGCTGCATGGACCTGCACAGTCCTCCATGTGCTTCAACAAACTTCTTGCATGCCCCTGCAAGGAACAGCTGTGCATCCTGGTTGAATACAGCCCTTGACACAGGAATATAAATAGGTACACTGGTCTGAATGAGCTCTTAAAGCAGAACTTCATCCTAAAGGGGAAGTTCCACTTTAACACCTTCTTCCCCTCCTTTCCCACTTTTGTAGGTTTGCTGTTTTTGGGGGAAAGCAGGTAATTTTAGAAGGTACCCGCTTCCAATTCCATTAGGACCGTCTAGGCCACGGGTGTCAAACTGGTGGCCCTCCAGCTGTTGCCAAACTACAAGTCCCAAGAGGCATTGCAAGATTGACAGTTACAAGCATGACTCCGAAAGGCAGAGGCATGATGGGACTTGTAGTTTTGCAACAACTGGAGAGCCACCAGTTTGAAACTGGTCTAGGCAATCGGAGCGGAGGTTTTCCCCAGCGTGTGTAACCTTCTGGGACACATTACAGGAGGTTGCAGGACCATTCACACAGCAAAGCACAACTCCTGCATGCACAGTGAGGATCCAACTGTGAAGCCACAATGAGTCACAGCCGCCTTCCCTTAGAAAACATGCCAGCGCCGGGAATTCAAAGACCAGTGAAGAACCAGCCCGGGTGAAGATAGCACTGGATCCCTGGACAGGAAATTGTCCATTTAAAAGTCAGTAGCTATAGTGTTTGTAGTTTCTGACTTTTAATTTTTTTTTCAAAGACTGAAGATCCTTTGTAAGTAGTTAAAGTGGTTCTAAAGCCTTAAAGTATAACTAAAGGCAAACTTTTTTTTTTAGTTTTGGATAGAGTGGAGAGGGATTAGAACACCTGTCAGATTTTATTGCTCTCTGTGCCCCTGTTAAGGAGATTCACCCTCTCTATTTGTCCTGTTGACCATTATCATTGAAAGTGAAAGTAAAAGAAAATCCCCAAATTTGGGTTGACCCCCGAAAAGTAGTAGAGGGGAAATCTTCCAATAGAGATACTAGTTCTGGTGACCTGGGGTCCAAGTTTTGAAAAGAATGGAGAGGGATTAAACCCCCTGTCAGATTTTATTGCTCTCTGTGCCCCTGTTAAGGAGATTCACCTCTCTATTTGTCTTGTTGACCATTATCATTGAAAGTGAAAGTAAAAGAAAATCCCCAAATTTGGGTTGACCCCCGAAAAGTAGTAGAGGGGAAATTTCCAATAGAGATACTAGTTCTGGTGACCTGGGGGTCCCAAAGGAATTCCTCTAAATTGCAAGGACTTCCCCTCACTTTCAGTTTGGCAATGGGACAGGAAGTGAAAGGAAATCTCCGCAATGGAGCACTCATGGTGAAAAAAAAATCTGAGAGGAGCTATAACCCTCCCTTGCTCTATCCAAAATGGAAAAAAAGTTTTGCCTATAGTTCTACTTTAAGGTTTTTCACCTTAATGCATTCTATGCATTAGGATGAAAAAAAAACCTTCTGTGCTGCAGGATCCCCCCCAGCCTCCCTTATACTTACCTGAGCCCGATCCGATCCAGCGTTGTGCACAAGAGCAGCGGCTCTCGTCGCTGTCTCCCTCCACACTGGGCAGATTGATAGTAGCAGGAGCCATTGGCTCTCACTGCTGTCAATCAAGTGTGCCGAGCCAGCGGAGGGCAGGGCAGAGTCGTCTGCTCTGTGTCAATGGACAGGGCGACTCAGGGGTGAGCCTGCACTGGTGTCCCCCATAGAAAGTGGGGGCACCTGTGTGGGCCTCTGTTCAAATTACGTTATAGTCTTTTACATTTTTTAAAACGGATTTATGGTGCCATTGGCTCCCACTGCTGTCAATCAAACGCTGTGCCGAGCCAGCGGAGGGCAGGGCCGAGCCATCTGCTCTGTGTCAATGGACAGGGCGGGTCAGGGGTGAGCCTGCACAGGTGTCCCCCATGGAAAGTGGGGGCACCTGTGTGGGCCTCTGTTCAAATTAAGTTATAGTGTTTTACATTTTTTAAATTGGATTTATGGTTCCATTGGCTCCCACTGCTGTCAATCAAATGCTGTGCTGAGTCAGCAGGGGGCAGGGCCGAGCCGTCTGCTCTGTCAATGGACAGGGCGGCTCAGGGGTGAGCCTGCACAGGTGTCCCCCATGGAAAGTGGGGGCACCTGTGTGGGCCTCTGTTCAAATTAAGTTATAGTTTTTTACATTTTTTAAATTGGATTTATGGTTCCATTGGCTCCCACTGCTGTCAATCAAATGCTGTGCCGAGTCAGCAGGGGGCAGGGCCGAGCCGTCTGCTTTGTGACAATGGACAGGGTCAAGGGTGGATTGACAAGTCCTGGGGCCCCCGGGCAATAGGGGATCATGGGGCCCCTGTGTCCTTGCCCAAACTCAAAAAAGCCTATGAAAAAGGTACCAGGGGCATCTCATGGGGCCCCACCCCAGACCCCGGGCCCTTGGGCAGTGCCCGAGTTTCCAAATGGTCAGTCCGCCCCTGGACAGGGTGGATCATGGGTGAGCCTGCACCCACCAAAATGGAGGAGCCTGGAGCACCAGCAGGGAAAACCCAGAAGAGGGTTGCTAACTGGGCTGCTCTCAGCAATACCATTGCACAGAGCAGGTATTGATATTAGTAAAAAAAACCACAAAAACAAATGTTTAATGTCACTGTCAAATGCTATCAAAAAACGTTTGCACTGTCATGGCAAGTTTCCTTTATGCAGTTCACACTTTTATTTAATCATAAGTGCTTCTTTAATCAGATAGAATATGAAAAAAACAAAAACCATCTTTAATCCTGTCCCTTTTGTCTTCTCAAATTTGAGTTCTTTCATATATAAATACTAATAGTCAGAGAAACAAAAACAAAAGAAAATTTAAATAACGTTTCTTTCCAAGGTGCAGTTATAACAGTTAAAGCAGATCCCAGCCAGGGGCAGTTTTCTAAGTCAGTTTTATTGAAATTTTGAAAAAAAAAAAAAAAAAAAAAGTGCATTTGAATGGAAAAATGTGTTTCAGCAAGGGATATCAGTCAGGACGCTCCAGGCATCGGGATATTAAATATCAGGACGTCTTCACGCCAAAAGCCTTTGTTTGCCACCATATAGCGCTCTGGCTGTGATTTATTGCAGATGACAAGCTCACAGAGGATTCAGTGGGCCTGCACATGGGCCGTGTGTAAACAGTTCAAATATGTGCTGATGCTGGTACAAGGCATTTGCTTTCCTTGCAATCACTGACAGTGTTCAAATTAAGTTATAGTCTTTTACATATTTTTAATTGGTTTTATGGTTTTGGGGTCAATTCTGACTTTTTGCTAAGATTTTAAAGTTGAACTCCAGACAAACAGCTAAATACACACACCAAATACATATAGGGGAGCTGTGCCTGCCAAAGATTTGTCACTTTGCCTAGGCAGTCCAGCCAGACAGCAAAGCCAGGTTGGTTACCAATTATTTCTCTGTATTTAAAGCCAACTTTGGCTAATTTTATTTTAAATATTGTCCATGAGGTCCATGAGAAAAAAAAAGAACAGCTTGAGAAAAAACAGCTAATCCTACAATACTTGCCTTCAATCCTGAGCTGTCCCCTTACAGTACCCTACATATCCAGTGACACTCAACTCGAAGGACTGTGATTGCAGGGTGTCATGGACCCACCCCCTGAGTACAGTGTCCTGTACTCACAGTATATTGATACAAAGACATGCCCAGGTCACCACATCTGCACCACTTTCTGCATCATCCAGTACTGCCCACTCCATCAGAAGTCTGAAGAGGAAGAGTAACCAGTGTGTCACCCGACCGGCTAGAAAACTTAAAAAAATATATGCCGGGTGGACTGGGTGCTCAAAAGGGGACAGGTCCTCTGGAATAGGGAGCACTGAGTCTAGGGGTGGGCTTTAAAGACATAATCAGGGGCGGACCGACCATTTGAGCACTCGGGCACTGCCCGAGGGCCCGGGGTCAGTAGGGGGGCCCTATGAAATGCCCCTGGTACCTTTTATAGGTTTTTTTGGGTGTGCTTTGAGTTTGGGCAAGAACACAAGGGCCCCATGATCCCCCATTGCCCGATGGCCCCATGAGTTGTCAGTCTGCCCCTGGACATAATCCACCTTTGACTGAAATGTAATAAATGCATCCACATTATTAAAATGAGTTAATATAATTTGCATTGAAGCCTGTAGAGCATTGCAACCATGATCAGTGCATTGTAAGTGCAGAGAACAGGTTCCTACATTGCTTACATCCTAGTTCCAGGTTTATACAGAGGTGGAGAGCTTCTGTTATGGGGCTGAATGAATCAACAATGAAAGAATGGACCTGGTGGTGGTGACGCCAATGCACTTGTAGCCCGATCACATCATCTGTGAGTCCCTCTGCCACAGTAGAAGATGGGACTTGTAGTCTTTCCACAGATTCCTGGAAGAATGTTCCAGGCAGAAGCACCCCAGGTAAGTCAGGGGTGAAGGGTGGGACTGGGAAATGTGACCATGTTCATGTAAGCTCCAAATATAGGTGTAACATGAATCATGGTTCCAAAGAAGGACTATGCCTTTACGCAATACAACTTGGTCACCTCCCTGTCCCCAGCCTGGGAACGGACAGTGAAGGAACAGCAATAAATTGATAAGCTCCTCACTCTGCTCTTTCCTCCCGTCAGCATCTTCCTTGTCAGCATGCCTGATTGGCAGTCACTTAGTTCATACACACAATTTTTTTTATTTTTACAATTTGACATTTAATGTATGACTGTAGAACCCTCCTAGCTAGCTAGGGGTAACTAGATGAATATTTTTTTTTTGTTAGAAGGCTGAGTAGCAGCCTGGGTGATAGTCAGAGGTGTCAAATTCAGGTCAGGGCTGAGAGGCTCTGCAGGGCAGGTCACTGATACCTCCCCTGATCTAGAAACTTGGAGAAGTCTCTAAAACTCAGTGGGCGGGGATGAGGAGGAGCTGGCCTACACTCTTGTGTGATCCTGGCAAATCCCCAGGCAGGAGGCTTGGCATGGGGTCAGGACAGCCCTTAAGAATGACTGAGCCTGCTCAGAGGCAGGAAAATTTGGGTGGAAGATGTAGAGAAGGCTGAGATGCAGAGACCTAGGAGGGGGCTCAGTGGCAAAGGGCCTACTTCCAGTCAGAGGTGCTGGAAAGGAGGATCACTCAACCTTGGGAGTCTCCTCAGAGAGGACCACCTGTGCAGCAGTTAAGGAGCCAGCCCAGTGGAAGGCCTGAAGGCAGCCACCAACCCAACAAGCACACAGGAGAGGAAGAGTGAGTAATCTTACACTCCCTGGGCCAGTTAAGGGGAAAGGGGCATTCTGGTGGGAAACCTGACTAGCTCTTTATCCTAATCTGTTTCAACCTAAATCGGCAGGCACTGGATCCCCTTGTCCAGGGGTTTTCTCCAGATAGCTGGATGAGAAGAAGATTCATCTGGGGTCTTGCGTGGTACACCAGGAGCAGTTGGAGAGCTCTCCAAGAAAGAACTTTTGCTGTAAAAAGACTTGTACATAGTTGCCAGGAAATTCAGTTTACTGTTCCTTGGGCATCTTATACACCCCTTACCCCATCCAAGTTAAAATACCTCTACAAAAAGAAACAAAACCTAATGGGACTTTACTGGTACATTAAGCGGACAACCTCATGTTCTACATTAAACATTTTTATTGAAATGCATCTTCCAAACACATTATGTAAAAACAATACTTGGCTAATGAGCCCAAGAAATCACAGCATAATGTTCTATGGCATCAATATCCTCTACGGATCGACGTGCTTCGCTTATTAGCTTCTTCAGGACCCCAAAACTGGAAGTGAAGAACTCAAATGCCTCAGCTGGACGATGTGTGTGTATATATATATATATATATATACACCATTAGTCATGCAAATTCAGTGTTACAAAAACATCATAAACCTTACAAAAACCATTCTCCGCAGACTCACATGCCAACATAAACGGTGATGCGAGGCAACAGCACCCACATAGAGGATAAAAACATGATCTTGGGTGAGCTTCCACATCCAGAGCCCCTCCCCCTCGTCCTTATTCAAATGGAGCCCTTCAGAGAAAACAACAAAGACAGTCCCACTACAGAAAGAAAAAGGGCAGGAGAAAGAGGGAGAAGGAAAGGAGGGGGGGATAATACCTCCCAAGCATAACTAGCAGTAGATCACTCACTGACTCGAGAGACAAGCAGCGGATATATTTGTTGTGGGTATTATCCGTATACAATATATTCCATGGATGCGTTCCAAAAAGCAATCAATATATAACAGTATGTATCAAAGTCAGTATGGAAATATCCACATTCTAAGGAATCATAATCATATCCGGCAAACCATTCCCAAACACCTACCTGGTAATCCTATCCAAAGGAAAGGTGCAAGAAGAATGCAAGACCGGACAATTGTTGTATAATGCAAGTACGCTCCTTTCAATAATCAAATGTCTCATATGTGTCAGTACACAAAATCTTCTAAGTGTGGCTCCTGCAATCACACAACCAATAGCCATGCTTAGTAATCCCCCAATAACGATTCCATCCATCAAACCAAGTCAAACACCATATCTCATACCTTTGAGTCACTATATTGCGTCAACCGTCCACTGTGCCCCCCCCCCCCAATGGCGCCTGGTTATCTATGTGCTCTCCTTGGACTGAGGGATGATAGGTAGGCAGGGCTCAGCAACACTATATTCAAGAAAGTCAAGACATTAAGAAAAAAGTGGATAATCCGTGCTCAGAACATATCACCTTATAATGAACATCTTAATGTACTCTTTCTCATAATACTGTCCATATTAACCATGCGTTTTCTGAAACATATTCACTGTGCGTTTATATACTAACAGTGTCCCAATATAAATAAATACTTCTTGTTAAACCATCCCTTTAAAACTCAGTGCTCCAAGTGCTATTGTGCAATCTCTCCTCTGTATATATACACCCAGTGATTACATGTGACCCCCAGTGTTATATCACCTCCGACACACTTATGTGCTCACCTTGTGCATTGACCTGAACTGTCAGGTCAAACCGTGCCTTTCCCTTTAACCCGGGCGGGCATGCTGATGTATCAATCTCCAACTCCTCCTGCACCTCCACACTCCAAAACGCACCACTTGGAAGTTGACCTGAACCGCCAGGTCAAAATCGCCTTTCCCTTTATCCCAGGCGGGTTTGCTGGTGTACAGTATATTATTTCCAACTCCTCATGCACCTCCAAACTCCAAAACGCACCAGGGAAATGGAAAAAAATGCTCCAGATGGTGAAGTATATCAAATCAATACAGACTTTATTAAAAACTCTTAAAATCTTCCACTCACATTTATATGTGTCCGCCTGGGACACTACAGGATCAAGAACTCTTTGTATGGTATTTTTATGAATGAAACTGCATTGGATTGCATTCAATTCCCTATCCAAGATGGCGGAATGTCCACTTCCGGTTATGGCTTGACGTCATTCAGTGTACCCTACGCGTTACGTCACGACATGTGACTTCATCAGGAGATCCTATTTCCCCCCTTAGAGCACCCACACAAGCAGGCACACAGCATTTTCCACACTCTTCCACTGGCTTCAAAAAACAGTCTAGGGATTTCTTTTTTTGGGTGTTACTAGAAATGATGTTACTGGAAATGATGAACTTGGATAGGGAAGGGGATATCCCGATAAACTGTAAAACTGAACAACTTGAGGACTCCTCAAATTTCTGGCTGCAAAGTACAAAAATGAATACCCCACAGGATCGCTATGCTGATGGCGACCTGTATACTTGCTGGAGTTGAAAAGCTACACACAGTCACTAAGTCTTCAGCACTGGGGTCCTTCTCTCACTCACAGGATCATCTGTTGCCTCCTGCCCAGGGGCGGACTGACAACTCATGGGGATCATGAGGCCCCTGTGTCCTTGCCCACTCTCAAAAAAAGACTATAAAAAGGTACCAGGGGCATTTCATGGGGCTCCCTACTGACCCCGAGCCCTCGGGCAGTGCCCGAGTGCTTGAATGGTCAGTCCGCCCCTGCTCCTGCCAATATCCACTGGGCTGCTCCTAGTGAGGGAGATGTAGACTCACACCACCCTAGGACAACTGGACACTTTCCCACCAACTTTCTCCTGGCTTTCTTCAGTGAGCGTTTCCAGACCCAACTTGATCCCCGGACTTTGAACTTGCAAATTGGCCTCCCGGTTAAGCATAGCTGGGACCCCTGTGTCTTCCTGATAGTTTCCTCCCAGACGTCTGCCCCAGGGGTCTCTTGCTGCTCAGGCTTCTCGTCACCTGCTGGGTACACCTCCCCAGGGAATGGAGTCCCATAAATATTCAGGCTGCCCACTCCACCCTTATTCCCACTGTGTTGCAAGAAGTACAGTGGAGCCAACTAAATTTGTCTACCAGCCCACTCTACATTAGGATGGTGCTACAAGAGGAACACACAGACAATTTCCAACATGTCTCTTATACAGAAGTCGATCAAATGATCCACCTCTGTCCAGCGGTGATGGTCACATGCTGGTCAAAACTCAGACCTGGATGAACTGGTGAAATTCAATAAGTGTATGGCCAACTTAACAGAGGCACTTTATAGCGTTTGCTTTTAGGCAGAACTTTTACTTTTTAATTGGCAGACAACTTCTCTTTAGGTTGGCCTTTTTATTCTAACAGCTCTGGAGTTTATTAAAATAATGTTTATAAAGTCATCATCTTTGGAAATGGGCAAGTGACTTTTTGGATCATTGGCTTGGATGCAGAGTTAGCACTGTTCACTGTCATTATGTTTTTGTATTCCGTTAGGACATTTCACTTTCCAGTTAATTTTGTTTATTTCCATTTATAGCAATGTTCATGGAGACTGTGTACTGTGCTTTGTGTATTTGCTGTCCTGCCGAGTGAGGTAAGCCCTAGCTTCACGTACCACTTTTTGGGGATAACAAGATGCAGTATCACTGTTCAAGGCATTATGACATGGCGAGTAAAAGATTCAACAGATAGTTTCTTATCAAATTGTTGATATCGGGGCCCAGAAGATACAATAAATAATTTTTCTAGAAATGTTTTATAATATGTTAATTTCTATTTTTTCTTTATTCATTTATTTTTTTGCTAGGATATGTTAAACTAGTCAAGCATTAAAATGTGAAAATTGAAGGCTCAGATAATTCATGGCGTAATGGCGATGAACAAAGGCAGATGTGTTTAAAGTCCAGCCTAGGTGACAATCATGGCTCCCTCA